ATTTACATTATATATATATATTTTCTCCAGTAATTTTCTGTAGTTTAGTGCTACCAGCAAGCAGAAATAGTTTTTCTCCTGATGATGCCCATTTTGGTCAGAAAATAGTCGAGGAATCTAAATGGAATAATAATAAAAAACGAAAAAATATTAATTAAAATTTCAGTGTGTGTCTAAAGATTTTTGATTTTTTATGTTCTTATTGTTCAATATATATATATATATATATATATATATATATATATATATAAGATAGAAAGAGAGATAGATGTGACTAGCCAAAAGATAGATAATCTAGATAGATAGATTTAAATAGATAGATAATAGATAGATAGATATTGTGACTTTATATTCAGAAAACTGTTATTATCCTTTTGGAACCCTAAAGTAAACATGACTAGCACAACAAACCCAAAAAAACGTCGTCTAGGTGTCTGTAGCAAGGAGGGATTATTAAATCATCTATCTGACTGATTCAGATGATAATGACACAAACCTGAAGCCGTCTACATGTGATTGTGGCAGGAAATTCGACAGCCTGCTGGTGTAGGCGATTCAATTCCCTTATTGGAGTGATAGGATTATGTATTTCGATTGCTTCTACAGTTTTCAGGATCCTATTCCTAAGCATCAGCGCTCTAGAGAAATTCGAAGCAAGCCAAGATTCCAGTGGGTCAAAGGCAATTAAAGAGCTTACTGGATCCATTCTCGATCAGGTACTCGTTAATACTTACAAACTTAATGACCCCATTAGCCAGCAGATCAGATCTTTCTGCGGGGTTCGTACATGAGGTTTTGTCTTGAGTGTGGCAACTGGAACAGTGAATAGAAAAAAAAGATGAGTGATCAGATAGACGACAGATTCAGAAGGGTAAACAAAGAGCAGAGCAGAGAATAGTTTAAGCGCTGACTCAGAGAAGCTCCAATTCACAAGAAAACAGACCCTAACAACCCGGATATTAAGGGAAGAATCTTAGTGATCGCTAAAGCTGAGAACCAAAGAAAACGTCGGAAGAAAAAGCGACAGTCAACGCCTTTATCCCCTGTGCCATGTGTCCTTACGGTATTGGTTTGATCCAGTGACAGGACCCAAAGAGTTGTGAGTTCAATATCCGGTTAAGGCGGTGGAGAAATTGGAGAGGGAATTAACAGGAGATAACTGATAACTAATGACATCCATTAATTCATTTTTACGTGAAACTAGAACAGTCTACCCCATTGAGCGAAATAAAGGGTTCAGTTTGACATTCCAACCACCTGAAGAAGACCGGAACGTACGTTGTAATAAATAATGTGACAAAGATGAAATTAATAGTCCGAATAATGTAAATAATTACATAATACTTCATCTCAAAAATATAGACAGATACTGAAGGGCCGAAACGTTGTAATAAATATGGCGACAAATATGGGACAATAGTCCGAATAATGTAAATAATGTACATAATTTCATCTCAGAAATATAGACAGATACTGAAGGGCCGAAACGTTATAATAAATATGGCGACAAAGATGAGGACAATAGTCCGAATAATGTAAATAATGTACATAATAACTCATCTCAGAAATATAGACAGATACTGAAGGGCCGAAACGTTGTAATAAATATGGCGACAAAGATGAGGACAATAGTCCGAATACTGTAAATAGTGTACATAATACCTCATCTCAGAAATATAGACAGATACTGAAGGGCCGAAACGTTGTAATAAATAAGTGGAGACAAAGATGAGGGCAATAGTCCGAATAATGTAAATAATGTATAATACCTCATCTCAGAAATATAGACAGATACTTATAGGGCCGAAAATTATAATAAATATGGCGACAAATGATTTTTTTAGTCCGAATAATGTAAATAATGTAAATAATAACTTATATCAAAAATATAGACAACGATATACTGAAGGGCCGAAACGTTGTAATAAATATGGCGACAAAGATGAGGACAATAGTCCGAATACTGTAAATAGTGTACATAATACCTCATCTCAGAAATATAGACAGGTTGCGGTTAAAGAATAAGGAAGTTGAAAGAAGGGCAGCGAATAGTTACTGTTTTTTCAAGTCCAACAATGTGCTTGGACTATCATGGAGTAATACTTATCCAATAAAGCTGTCGTGGAATACCCTGATTGCAATGGAGCAATTGGCAATATCCTCCTGTGATCTACCTACAATCTCCTACCAAAAGCGCCCTACCTCAAGCAGTGGGTTTACACTGGCACCAATGTTTGCGCATTATCTGAAAGTGATCGAGGCAGTTTACGACACGTGCTTTGTCCATGCCCACAGTCACTACAGGTGTATACGTGGCGTCATAATAAAATGATGGAAATGATCATGGACTTAGTCAGTATGCAGGGTGAAGCAGCCAACAAATAGCGACCAGAGTACGAAAGATCCGTTTTCACAAGAAAAGTTAACGCCCTGTGAGAAAACTCCAAATAACTCCCATCATGACACTCCTGAGTGGATCATATACATATGACCGGCCATTGGCGGATTAAGCAGGGTGTCAGCTTGCCCAATCGCAAGTAGGCCCCTGATGTATTGAGACCGTTTATCAGGTAAAAATTAAATGAAACAACAAAGACAGACACCCTGCTTAATCCGCCCATGGCCGGTCATATGTATATATATCCTCAATTCAGGAATGTCATGATGGGATTATTTGGAAATTTTCATTGGGCGTTAACTTTTCTTGTGAAAACGGATTAAATTTCTTTCAAATGGTCTTTCTTAACAAAAATTGGCTATGTAAATAATAAGAAATAAATACGAACTTTATAATGTCATCTGCACATTATTAGTTACTATAGTTCAATGTGAGATGACATTGGATGCCGTGAATTACTTGGATGGTCAATCGTCTCCTTCTGTTTGAAAGTGGGCCTCACTGGCCGGAATCTGAAGCTAAAGATCATAAAGACAATGTTAAGAAATTTGCTGTCTTAGGAGAATTTGGAATCATACATGTTGCTATCCATTGAAAAAGAGGGTGTTATTTGATCTTAGAACACCGATTTAATTTCCGGTACACACCGTTCAGACAGACGCAAGCCCAGACATCGTAGCGCGGTCGGTTTCAAAGAAGTGCGTCTTTCTAGTAGAATTAACCCTAGAACGGTAACCATCAATTAAAGTTACACCACTTACTAACCATGGGTATATTATACCGGATTTCTAAAATATCCCCCCAAAAATATTAATATAAATCTTTATTTGAAATATTTTACATGCAGACACTTCAAATTTTGTACTTTGAGTTAACATTAATAGGAACTGAAAAACATATTATTTAGGTAAGAAAATCAGATACTGAAAATTGTAATTAAAAGATACACGACTACTAACCATGAGTATATCATACCCGATTTTGAAAATATCAAAAAAATATTAAATATTGTTATGGTCCGGTTCCTTGTACCACTGTGATAGTCCAAGGTAGAACCAATAAAGAAGAACTCGAATACGGATATGGAATAACACAGATATATTACAAACAGGAATATATACAGAGAAATAGAAGTGTTAGAAAACAATCAGGTTTAGTACAATGAACAATCAGGTTTAGTAGTAATTGTCTGAACGCGACTCTGTTTCGGACTGCCTCTGACTCGACTGACTGACTCGCTCTCTGACTGACCTGACGGACTCCTGACGGACCTCACTCCAGACTTCAGACTGAACGGTATTTAGTCACCCCCCCCCATGAGGGCATCATGTAACACAAGGCCGGTTTAATCTCGTGGGGATCTCCGAGCCCGTGGGCTCGGCCAAAAATATGCCCTTTGAACCCGTATAAACGGGTTCAGGGTCGGTTTACCTCCCCGAAAGAGACTCCGCCCTTCGGCGTAGCCTCGTTCGGGTTCCTCCCCGCCGAAGGCAGAGAGTTCAGAGAATCAACCGATCAGCCGGTCGCCCGACTTCAGACTGAACTCCTGCTTCCTCTTGAGGCGCAGTATTTATTACGTATGGAATAGTCCATTATGTTATTATGGGTAAGGTCCCCATAACATATAAATGATTATTTGAAATATTCGGACTTACACTTCAAACTTTGTAATATTTCGACCTGAAACATTAATAAATTTCGAACCGAACCCATATTATTCCACGTTATAAGAAAATCAGATTTGAACTCTCCAATTGTTTCACAAAATAGAAAAAATTTCGCTGGGTAATATATACCCGTGGTCCACTAAGTTCTGTGTTTAACGGTGATCAGCGGAATTTCAGGGTCTTAAATGAAAAGAAAATCTCAAAAGAATCGCTGCGATCCGACTGTGGAAAAAGGGATATTTTTTTTAACAGAGATACCTATTGAGGTTGGGTGCCATGCATTACTTGGACTGTCAATCGTTTCCTTCTTTTTGAAAGTGGGCATCACTGGCCGGAACCTGAAGTGTGCTTCACATCGTCTCCAGACTACATCTCAACAGTTGGATCCGATCAAGATCCAGAATAAACAAAGTTAAATTAAATATATGCTTGCGACACAATGCTACACCTGACGCAAATCGCATCAGTTTATCTTCCATTATACATTATTGATGAGCTCGTTGTATTGGTTAATGATCAAAGGTAAATGCATTTTAACACAACGTTGCAAATCTCGGTTTTCAACGACAAAAAGAAAGGCAAAAAACTGACACGTCTAAAAAACATTATCCTGCCCCGGTTCAGTTATCGCTGGTTTTGCGGAGTGGCAGTTCCGCCTTAACCAGCATCTCTGTATTACCAGTCCTTGGTTGGCTTTTGAGAAGGAAGGGTATCGCACGCAAACTTGCACCTGGTGTAAAAAGAATTTACTAGCCTGATAGATAGATAGATAGATAGATAGATAGATAGATATGACTATCTTGAAATAGATATAGTTAGATATAGTTAGATGTGACCAGTCTAAAATAGATATAGATAGATAGATATGACTAACTCGAAACAGAGATAGATAGATAGATAGATACATAGATAGCAATGACTATCTTGAAATATAGTTAGATAGATGTGACTAGTCCGAAATAGATATAGATAGATAGATAGATGTGACTAGCTCGAAATAGAGATAGATAGATAGATAGATAGATGTGACTAGACCGAAATTTAGATAGATAGATTTGACTAGTCAAAAATAGTGATAGATAGATAGAGAGATATGATTATATTGAAATAGATTTAGTTAGATAGATGTGATTAGTCCGAATTAGATATAGGTAGACATATAGATGCGACTAGTTAGAAATAGATAGATAGATAGATAGATAGATAGCAATGACTATTTTGAAATAGATTTAGTTAGATAGATGTGACTTGTCCGAAATAGATATAGAAAGATACATAGATGTGACTAGCTCGAAATATAGATAGATAGATAGATAGATAGATAGATAGATGCGACTTGCTCGAAATAGATAGATAAATAGATAGATGTAACTAGCCAGAAATTTAGATAGACAGATTTGATTAGTCAAAAATAGTGATAGATAGATAGATAGATAGATTAATAGATATGACTATATCGAAATAGATATAGTTAGATAGAAGTGACTAGCTCGAAATAGATAGATAGATAGATGTGACTTGCTCGAAATAGATAGATAGATAAATAGATAGATGTAACTAGCCCGAAATTTAGATAGATAGATCTGACTAGTCAAAAATAGTGATAGATAGATAGATAGATATGACTATATCGAAATAGATATAGTTAGATAGATGTAACTAGCTCGAAATAGATCGTTAGATAGATAGATACATAGATAGATAGACAGATGTGACTACCCCAAAATTCAGATAGATAGATAGATAGATAGATAGATAGATAGATAGATTTGACTTCATCTTTTAGATAGATAGATAGATAGATAGATAGATAATAGACCGCGAAAGATAGGTTTTCACTGATCTTTTTATAGGCATAGATAGATAGATAGACAGATGTGACTACCCCAAAATTCAGATAGATAGATAGATAGATAGATTTGACTGGTGAAAAATAGATAGATAGATAGACAGACAGATAGGTTTGACTGGTTTCGTCCAATAGGCATAGATAGATAGATAGATAAAAGATAGATGTGACCACCCCAAAATTCAGATAGATAGATAGATAGATAGATTTGATTGGTGAAAAATAGATAGATAGATAGATAGATAGACAGACAGATAGGTTTGACTGGTCGGAAATAGGCATAGATAGATAGATAGATAGAAAGATAGATGTGACTACCCCAAAATTCAGATAGATAGATAGATAGATAGATTTGACTGGTGAAAAATAGATAGATAGATAGATAGATAGATAGACAGACAGATAAGTTTGACTGGTCGGAAATAGGCATAGATAGATAGATAGATAGATAGATAGACAGATGTGGCTACCCCAAAATTCAGATAGATAGATAGATAGATTTGACTGGTGAAAAATAGATAGATAGATAGATAGATAGATAGATAGATAGATAGATAGATAGATAGATAAGTCGAGCAAGCGAGAGTGTATGCGAGAGAGTGAGAGACAAAGAGCACTACAAATTCGGTTCAATGCACCTCATTCAAGCCCGGTAGCTATACATTTTGCGCCTTAACGTGGCCCCAAGGCATAACACAGAGCACATTGGAGGCAATGTAATATTTGCATAATTCTATTTTTCATTTAAGTGTGCTTCTTATTCGCCCAGCGAATGCAGTATATATCTAGAGATCTTAGGTGCTTGATAAGCTAGCGTAAGGCAAAAATGATGCGGTTCCCAATGAGGATCAAACTCATGTGTCGGTATCAATGATAAAAGAGAACAGCTTTCTAGCCATTACGTTCGCAGTGGCAGACTGGATATAAAAATATTTGTTGCCAGGACTAAAGCCCGATCGTTTAATTTTCATAACGAATAAATAAAATTTAAAAAAAATCTGTCTATATTTCGGAGATGAGGTATTATGTACACTATTTACATTATTCGGACTATTGTCCTCATCTTTGTCGCCATATTTATTACAACGTTTCGGCCCTTCAGTATCTGTCTATATTTCTGAGATGGGGTATTATGTACATTATTTACATTATTCGGACTATTGTCCTCATCTTTGTCGCCATATTTATTACAACGTTTCGGCCCTTCAGTATCTGTCTATATTTCTGAGATGAGGTATTATGTACATTATTTACATTATTCGGACTATTATCCTCATCTTTGTCGCCATATTTATTACAACGTTTCGGCCCTTCAGTATCTGTCTATATTTCTGAGATGAGGTATTATGTACACTATTTACATTATTCGGACTATTGTCCTCATCTTTGTTGCCATATTTATTACAACGTTTCGGCCCTTCAGTATCTGTCTATATTTCTGAGATGAGGTATTATGTACATTATTTACATCATTCGGACTATTGTCCTCATCTTTGTTGCCATATTTATTACAACGTTTCGGCCGTTGCAACCTCCAGCCTTTTTCAGATAGATAGATGTGACTAGCCCGAAATAGATAGATAGATAGATAGATAGATAGATAGATAGATAGATAGATAGATGTGACTAACCTGAAATATAGATAGATAGATAGATAGATGTGACTAGCCCGAAATAGAGATAGATAGATAGATAGATAGATAGATAGATAGATAGATAGATAATGTCACTAACCTGAAATATAGATGGATAGATAGATAGTGACTAGCCCGAAATATAGATACATAGATAAATAGATGTGACTAGCTAAAAAGATATAGATAGATAGATAGATAGATAGATGTGACTAACTTGAAATAGAGATAGATAGATTTGACTAGCCAGATAGATAGATGTGTCTTGCTCGAAATAGATGTAGATAGATTGATAGACAGATATATGTGACTAACCTGAAATATATTCAAAGAAAGAAAGATAGATAGATAGATAGCGAAAAGAATGTGATAGATAGATAGATAGATAGATAGATAGATAGATGCCACTAGCCCGAAATAGATATATCTAGATAGATAGATGTGACGAGTCCTTTCATGATGTTGGCGCTAATGACTCGCCACAATTCCCCGCCCTTTGAAGCTCTCAGTAAATGTTGTCTTTTTTTCTTTTCTTTACGAAACTATATTCCGTCATCCATTTATATAAACACATTATCTAAGTTACATACTCTTTTTTCTCATTGCCTTCAATAGGTCATGTGAGTATGCGTTTTTCCAAGCCTTCTTTCCTCATTATGTGCCTTTGAATTTTCAGCTATCTTTTTTTTATGTTAAGTATAAGTGGCCGCTTTGTTATTAATTTCTCTAAATTTTGTCGTTGATCACATGTTCTTTCCACGGTATTCTTAACATCCTTCTGTAGGACCATATTTCTGTTACTTCAAGCCTCTTCTTCATGCGTGTGTAGATTGTTCAGTTTTGTGGTGATGATAGTTCAGTACTCCCTGTTTCTATTCGAAATTTTCCAGTTTCTTTATACGTTGCCTTAGCTTTTAGAAGACATCTTTCGCTATTCTATAACATTTCATGTTCAACTTGGGAATAATCAAACTAAAATCGATACTAAACAATTTCAAATCGATACTAAACAATTTCAAATTGATACTAAACAATTTCAAATTGATACCAAACAATTTCAAGTTGGTACTAAAGAATTTCAAATTTATACTAAAGAATTTCAAATTGATACTAAACCATTTCAGTTTGGTACTAAACAATTTTAAATTGATATTAAACAATTTCAAATTGTGACTAAATAATTTCAAATTGGTACTAAACAATTTCAAATTGATTCTAAAGAATTTTAAATTGATACTAAACAATTTCAAATTGATACTAAACAATTTCAAGTTGGTACAAACTATTTAAAAATTGAGACGAAACAATTTAAAATTGATACTAAACCATTTCAAGTTGGTACTAAATAATTTCAAATTGAGACTAAACAATTTCAAGTTGGTACTAAACAATTTCAAATTGAGACTAAACAATTGCTGCTAAACACAAGGCTTTTATTGAAGTGTGTGTGGAGATCCCACGAATAACGTTGAAGCAGCTGGCAGCTTTGATACAACAGAGATTCAATATGGTTATGTGTTCCGAATGTGTTCGACAACATTTGAATGAACTCTTATTCTCAGTCTAAAAATTTACCTTGAGCCGGAGAATGCGAATAGCGATATCAACACAAACAAGCGTCGACAATATGTCCAGGAGCTTCTACGATTCCAGGCCGACAATAACGTAGTTGTTGTTTTTACGTTGCTGAAACGAATTTCAATTGGTATATTTCTCGTACGGAAGGGCGATCAAAGAAGGGGAGTCGCTGTACTGTAGTCGCCACAGGGACTCGAGGGGCAAATATTCACGTCATTTGAGGGATTAGTAACCTCGGATTAATCTATCATGAATTCCGACGAGGGTCATTCAAAAAGGAACAAGCTGAAGAGTTTATGAGACATTTCTTACAACGGGCCCACGGCAGATACCACGTGACTGACGATGCCTCTTGCCATGCTTCGTTGGAAAACGTATTTTTGGAACCTGAGTTTGTCCATCATCACTTCTTACGCCTCGGATCATAGGGTCCGATGATGAATCCGATAGAAGGAGCATGGTCAATTCTTAAGGCTAGTGTAAAATCCGAGGTAGCTTTGAATCTTCCTCGAGTTCTTGCAGGCAAAGAACGGGGAACTGCAACACAAACTGAATTTCGCAGTGCACAATTTGAGCAAATCTAATAACCCTGCCTAAATGTACTGCTCTGCTGGCACATGTTCAGCAATTTATACAACCAGCCTTGAATCTTGAGTACATGAATTTTTGGCATGCACGAGTACATTGATATTCCATAATTCATGAGTTAGTGACAATAAATATTTGCTTGCACAGTTTCATTGTTATAATTCATTTGTTCTGATGAAAAATATATTTGCCAACTTGAAATTGTTTAGTATCAGTTTGAAATTGTTTGGACCAACTTGAAATTGTTTAGTCTCAATTTGAAATTGGTTAGTCCGACTTTAAATTCTTTTTGTCTCAATTTGAAATTGTTTAGTCTCAATTTGAAATTGTTTAGTACCAACTTGAAATTGTTTAGTATCAATTTGAAATTGGTTCGTCCGACTTGAAATTCTTTTTGTCTCAATTTGAAATTGTTTGGTCTCAATTTGAAAATTGTTTTAGTATCAATCTTAAATTGTTTAGTACCAACTTGAAATTTTAAAATTTTAGTATCAATTTGAAATTGTTCGATATCAACTTGAAATTGTTTAGTCTCAATTTGAAATTGTTTTTAGAAATTGCTTGTTTAGTATCAATTTGAAATTGTTTAGTACCAACTTGAAATTGTTTAGTATCAATTTTAAACTGTTTAGTATCAATCTGACATTGTTTAGTGCCAACTTAAATTGTTTAGTATCAATTTGAAATTTTTAATCTCAATTTGAAATTGTTTAGTACCAACTTGAAATTGTTTAGTATCAATTTGAAATTGGTTCGTCCGACTTGAAATTCTTTTTGTCTCAATTTGAAATTGTTTAGTCTCAATTTGAAATTGTTTAGTATCAATCTGACATTGTTTAGTACCAACTTGAAATTGTTTAGTATCAATTTGAAATTGTTCGATATCAACTTGAAATTGTTTAGTCTCAATTTGAAATTGTTTAGAACCAACTTGAAATTGTTTAGTATCAATTTGAAATTGTTTAGGACCAACTTGAAATTGTTTAGTATCAATTTGAAACTGTTTAGTATCAATCTGACATTGTTTAGTGCCAACTTGAAATTGTTTAGTATCAATTTGAAATTGTTTAGTCTCAATTTGAAATTGCTAATACCAACTTGAAATTGTTTAGTATCAATTTGAAATTGGTTCGTCCGACTTGAAATTCTTTTTGTCTCAATTTGAAATTGTTTAGTCTCAATTTGAAATTGTTTAGTATCAATCTGACATTGTTTAGTACCAACTTGAAATTGTTTAGTATCAATTTGAAATTGTTCGATATCAACTTGAAATTGTTTAGTATCAATTTGAAATTGTTTAGGACCAACTTGAAATTGTTTAGTATCAATTTGAAACTGTTTAGTATCAATCGGACATTGTTTAGGGCCAACTTGAAATTGTTTAGTATCAATTTGAAATTGTTTAGTATCAATTTGAAATTGTTTAGTATCAATATGAAATTGTTTAGTCTGAAGTTTAAATTGTTTAGTACCATCTTGAATTTATTTAGTCCCAATTTGAAATTAGTGAGTCCAACTTAAAATTCTTTAGTATCAATTTGAAATTTTATGGTACAATGGCTTCAAAACGATTTTCTTTTAATGATGTGACCCTTTTAAAATTTCTCTTAATATCTAACCAATCAATAAAAATAAATAAATAAATAATTTGCAATGCAAATGTCCTTCTTTCAATAAAACTAGAGCTGAACCTTTCTATCAATTTCGGATCGATCTTCCGAGTGAGTTGCAAGCAGAAAAGGGAGGAGACAGCGAAAATCTGCACAGAGCTTACTACTGATGAAAAACAAGAAAACAGTTTGAAAATTCCCTTAAAGAGCTTTACAGAATTAAGTTTCAATGAGTTTACAATGTATTTAAAGAGAAAATGAATGTGATTAATTATGAAATCAGCAAAAGAAGACTTAGTCTGTTGTTGGAAAACAATGGGTCTACCTGAAAATCGATTGCCTATCAAAAGAACAAAAGAAATTGATACAAGATTTCAAGTGTTCGTACGAACTACATTCCTTTCTTATGCCAGGTCGAAACATCGCAGCTAGGACCCGTCATGCCTCTTAAATCGTTGGAAACCAATCACATTCCGCCCCACGCTGTATTCCATCGGCGAGAGGTAAGTTCCCCTCTAGTGCGTTATTTTCGCCGACTTTCAATAGAACGAACCACTAGCCCTGTGGAACGACTTCCAAGAAGATATTTCCAAGATCCCTAAAACCTTAACCTGTTCAAGTCTACAATTAACCATTATGTTTCCTTCCAATCCATATAAACGTAAAGATCTACCTCGGGTGCCCACCGGGCTTTGTACAGGGTGAACCGTACTGTAAAAAAAAAAGAAAAAAAAAACACTCCATTCTTTTATTTTCTAAACTTCGTAGACTTCTTTTATTTTCTAAATTTCGTAAACTTAAGGAATCGGCACATATACTAGGCCACAAAAATCTCCTGAGCCGACCAAGCATAGAAATAAATACAATATGGGAACCAGTAATAAGAAGTGCCAGAGAAAAGCGATAATAACAACAAAGTTGCAATATGAGCTCTGGTAAAAAAAAAACATGTAATGATAACAGCAAAATTGCAATAGGAGCACGGGTAAAAATAGTTGCTGAAGACATTAGGTTTATAATACCCAGAAATTCTTACGTAGTTTTCATCAAGGACACAGTGGATAAAGGCGTTGGTTAGATCCAGTGACAGGACCCAAAGATATGTGAGTTCAATACCCGGTTAAGGCAGTGGAGAACTTTCAGAGGGAAAATTAACAGGAGATAACTGATAACTGAGATCCATTAAAAACATGGCACGTGGAACTAGAACAGTCTACCCCAGTGAGCGAAATAAAGGGTTCAGTTCGAAATTCTAAGAAGAGGGCTGGAGCGTACAACGGCCGAAACGTTGTAATAAATATGGCGACAAAGATGACAAAAGTCCGAATAATGTAAATAATAAAAAATTTCCTTGTTTCTCAGTACTTTGGTTAGAAGTCTCCTTTCAGAATTTCCATTTTCTTAATACTTTATTTAGTTTCTGGAAGGCATCTTTCTCTATCCCAATGTTCCTTCGGATTTCGGTGTCACATTTTCCGTCCCTTATTTCTTCATGGAATTTTAAACTTCTATACTAGTTTGACGTCCCCAATTAGTAGTTTACATCACGGGGTCTATTAGTCGTGATATTCTACCAAGATGCCGGATATCATGTACGCAATGATGTCGTTACCTACATGAGCGATAATGGGTCAGTCTGTCCCGGTTAATATAGAATCAGACCGTATCATTCATTCGCAGGAATACGTGGAATGGCCGTGATTTCTTTTGTATGGAAATTTCACAAAGACGCTGACGTGATATTAAATTCTAAAGCTTTTATAAATGCCAACATAATTCTTCTCTGCATATTTGTACCTATCTGAATATATATATATATATATATATATATATATATATATATATATATATATATTTTCTTATCTATCTCCGTTCCATCCTTCCTATCTATCTATCTATCGCCTTCCACCTTCCGATCTAACTCCTTCCTTCCTTCCTTCCTTCTTTCCTTCCTTCCTTCCTTCCTTCGTTCCTCTCTCTGTCTCTCACTCTCTCTCTCTATATATATATACATATATATATATTTCCTATCTATCTACTTCCTTCCTTCCTTCCTTCCTTCCTTCCTTCCTTCCTATCTATCTATCTATCTATCTATCTATCTATCTATCGTCTTCCTTCCTTCCTATCTATCTATCTATCTATCTATCTATCTATCTATCTTCTTCCTTCCTTCCTATCTATCTATCTATCTATCTATCTATCTATCTATCGTCTTCCTTCTTTCCTATCTATCTATCTATCTATCGTCTTCCTTTCTTCCTATCTATCTATCTATCTATCTATCTATCTATCTATCTATCGTCTTCCTTCCTTCCTATCTATCTATCGTCTTCCTTCTTTCCTATCTATCTATCTATCTATCTATCTATCCTCTTCTTTCTTGTCTATCGCCTTCCTTCCTTCCTTCCTTCCTTCCTTCCTATCTATCTCTCTATCTATCTATCGTCTTCCTTCTTTCCTATCTATCTATTTAGCTATCTATCTATCTATCTATATATGTGATTCTCTTCAATGTCTATCTATCCTTCTTCTCTCTTTTGCTCTCTGTCCCTCTGTTTGTCTATCTGCTTTCTTCTCATCTATCTCTTTCCTGCCTGCATATCTATCTATCTATCTATCTATCTATCTATCTATCTATCTATCTATCTCTATCCTCTTCTTTCTTTTCTATCGCCTTCCTTCCTTCCTTTCTTCCTTCCTTCCTATCTATCTATCTATCTATCTATCTATCTTCTTTGTTAATTTCTATCTATCTATTCGCGAATAAAATCTTCCATCTACTAATATTAAGTATATCAGGTGTCGCCATGTTAGGGATTAACATCTTCCCCCAGAGGTCTTCCGATGACATGGGGAATAGTGTTGCTGTACTTCGCTATGGTAGACGAGGAAACTTCGCCATAAATTATGTCCCGTGAAGACATTTATCTTTGCAATGACATTACTCTAAATTAAAATAAATTTTTGCAAATCATTCTATAATAAAAAAGAAAATGTAAAGAAATGATTTCACTTTAAAAATGATTTGATTGTTAAATTTCTGAACTATATGCAAGCATTACTGACTGAAGAAGACTTTTAGATCGGTAGAGTAAATATACGAATCTTCTCAAACAAGGAGGATGGAATATTCTTGAATATTTTTCAAAAAAGTTTAGACGTTCTTTTATTTGTCAACATATTCTTTTTTTTTGTTTCTTAATATACAGTTTACTGTTGGATGCTTTACAGGAAACGGCTGGCTCTTGATGGCTGGGA